ATGATGTAGGGATGGTATAGTAATCTCTTTGTTCTCTGTGACAATGGACATTTTTTTCCTTCATATCTATAAAAATTTTCTGTGACTTGAAGTGGGTACTGTGGAATGGAATAGGGATGGTTTTATATGACTTTTTGGTTACATGCTGAACTCTGGTTTACATGGGTTTCTAGCATATGTTATGAGATAGGGATGGTATAGTAATCTCTTTGTTCTCTGTGACATTGGTCATTGGGCATTTCTTTCCTTAATATTTATTAAAACTTTATGTGACTTGAAGTGGGTACTGTGGAATAGGAATGGTTGCATGGCAACATGGTTTCATGTTGAACCCTGGTTTACATGGGTTTGGGTCTTTGAGATCATATATTCCATCTTGTGCCCCACAGCCCACCTCCTTACATTGACATGTCACCAACTTAAAACCGATCGGAAATCTTATTGGTCACTGTGGATGAGTGACATTGCATAATCAAATATCATGGGTCATAAGATGATACATAGACACCTAGTGCTTGCTTGGTTGGTATAAAAGAATCATGAGAAGTAGATTTTCCAAGGAAGGGAAAGATTGTGGTATTGTTTGGTTGGCAAAACCATGGAAAGTCACACTTTCCACAAAATGGAAGAGTTGCAAAACTAGGCCCCCTCCCTAGGTTTGTGGAACTTTTTACTGGAAGTTTTACTTCCTATTCTCAACCGAACAACATTTTTTTACGTCCAATGAAATTTCACTTCCCAAAAAATTTCACTTCACATGTTCAACAAAACTACCACTTAGTACGGGATAAAAGTCCCTTTTGGATGAAATGTTATCTTATTAGCTGGATCGGGAATATATGCCTTCTAATTATACACTATATAGCTGTTGATTGTGTGCTTGGAGTGAGGGTATTGTATCAAGGGTAAATACATGAATATATGAAGAGAATGAAAGTGGGGGAAGATGAATTGAGATATTGATTGTGTTAGATGGAGGGTGGGGGAATATTTGAGGGTAATAGCTACCCACTATCACACTACCTGAAACTGAGGGTGCTTGTTTTTCTTCCCTCCTTCTCTGCCTTTCAGTATGAAAAAAATGAAGAAAATAAAGGTGGATGAAGGACTTGGAGGTGGTGGCTGATGAATTGAGATAATGATTGTGTAAGATGGAGAGTTTTTTTTTTTTGTTGTGTGTGTGTGTGGGGGGGGGGGGGGGGTGGGTGGGAAGGGTAGAGGGTAATAGTTACCCAGCACTACACTAACAGAAACTGAAGGTGATTATTTCCCTTCCCTCCTTCAGATTATGACAACATTAGCACTTGACCACCTCTTAAACCTTGTAACTTCTCTATTACTTTATTAAGGCCCTGATAAATTAGATGGTTTTATCCTTTAGAAAAGAGGGTCAACGACACTTAACCTTTTCCTTTACGTTTTTAGCTTGAACATGTACTGCTAGATGGTTATTAGAATATAAAGATTTGACATCATGTTTCATAATATGGTTATTTCTCCAAAAAAAAAAAAAAAAAAAAAAAAACACTGCTGAAATATATGTTTTCTTTAAATGCCTCAAAATTGGTTTTCAAATAGTGTCTTCCATTCTACTTTTCATTTTGTTTTATTTTTTTGGTAATTTGGGTGGATGTTTGTTGACCTCAACTATTGATTTTGTTTCTGGTTTTACTCTCCTCATTGTGAGTCTGAAAATAGACTGCAAATGCTGATTGTAACATGCTTAATCCTTGTATTTGCTTTTTTAAGATGATAGATCACTCCATGTTGTGTTTATTGTTTTTTACAGGTGGAAAATGAAGGATACAGCAACTATTATCCAGGTACCGAGTATTTTGAAGGCGAAGATGGTGAACTCTCATTTTTCAATGCAGGAGTAAGGGTTGGTGTTGGAATTGGCCTTAGTGTCTGCCTTGGAATTGGAATAGGCGTTGGATTGCTGGTTAAAACCTACCAAGGAACAACACGGACTTTCAGAAGACAGTTCTTCTGATCCATGACCCCCCAATGCTCAGTGATAGGTCTTCTCTCATTTGCCCTTTCATCGAATTGCTGCAAACTTATGTTTTAGATCGCACAGCAAGTAATGTTTCTGCTGTGACAATACATGGTAAATCGTGCACCAAGAACTTGCATACAAATGGCCACCCGCTTTGAGTGCTCTAAGCTTGCGGCTCAGCTAATGAAACACTATTTGGTTTGTATAGGTTTGTTAGCTTGTTTCATTGTGTAACACTCAAAATGCATAGTTATCTTACAGTAAGACGCAAGTTTTTCAATTGCTCCAGAATGTCAATTGCTGACAAGTTTTGTTGATGAGATTGGAAATGTGTAAAATTCCATGGACATGCTTTTTGAGTTGTAGATTTCTTAGTTGTGTGTATATTATGGTCCAGAATAATCAGTTTCTACAGAATTACTTACTCCTAAAACAGTCTTGTTATCTTTTGTATCATTTGCATTTTCTGTGGATTTTCAGTTCAGATATCAATTCACAATTCATGTTTGCTGGTTCATAGATGATTTACAAATCCAATTAGGTGTTGCAGGTGACGATGACAAATTGCCAAAGTTCATAGTTTTTATCACAAAAATATGGCATAAATTACAGGATTATACTTTGAACAGTTTATCGCTGCATGTTCCCCGGCCCATACACGAGTTGCCGAGCCAATGTAGTAAGGAGGGAGTCGTATTTTAAGTCAAGAAACACGGAAGCCCTAAATTCGATATACCTTGTGATACTGATTCGGATTAAAAAAAAAATGATTACTTGTGTATAAAATAACAACATGAAACATACAAACCTCCAGATTGAATAAATCCTTTGGGGTCGGGGTGAGTATTTGACATGCTAGCGAATTTCATAGTTTTGATTAGAAATTATACTAACCGAAATTAGATTGTGTGTTTGTGTTTTTGTTGGCCTTGTCTTTACCTTGACCCTATGATGACCCATTTTTAATGGAGAGTAGTGAAAACAGGTAGAGAGAAGTTTTTCAGGTGATGAAACATATTCATGATGGGCATGAGTGAAGAGTGAATCATGCTAGTTTCCATAAGTTTATGATTTGTTTATTGCTTTAATTATTTTATTATATTATGCTTGTAAGACTAACACAATGGTTTTAAGTTGGTTGGTTTTGTTAAGGGCTTACAATGATTCGAAGTTGTAGGTTGACTTCGTTTTACTTTGGTTTCACTTTACTTTCGTTTGGTTGACTTTTTAAGTTGAATCGTTTTGAATGTTTTTAAAAGTAGTCTTCCGCTGTGTGTCTTAGATAGTTGCCTTAGCCATTTTCAAGGTGGCAGTAATGTCTTAGATTTCCCTATTTCGAGTTTTAAACAGAGCAAAACAAATATTTTACAAGAAAAGAATTTTTTAGGGTGATACAGTTACGGAGTACGGACTAGTTCACAATCAATAACCGTAAAATGAACTAAACATGGCCTATTCCAGAGTTAAGGTAAAATACTATCCCTGAACTACTTTGGTATTTGTAGCATTTTAGTTTCTCAACTTTTGAACGAGGGAAAATGGTCCCTCAACCACCAATGACTCGCTTTTCAGGTACAAATTATCTAACTAAGCATAGTTTAGGGACCTTAGTGCACATGTGGCAATAATTTAATGATTTTAAAATAAATAGGGACTTTCAGCTGATGAGTTGGAATTAATTAAATTAGAAATAAAAGTTTAGGGCCCTATTGGGTGAGGTGGCTAATGTAATTATTATAAACCAAAGTTTAAGGACCTACGAGAATACATGATGCTCCCATACAAGAGTGGTTATAAGTTTTAACCCATAAATGTAATTTAGTTCTACTCCGTGTTAAATTAATTTGATTTCAACAAAACCAAATTAATTTTAGTAAAATTATTAACTTTATAAAAATATATAAGTGAAAGATATTTTAAGTGTGAAAATCATAGTCACGATTTACTTTCTTGTACTAAAATATGTTAATAAATCTCGCTAAAAAATCTAGCTATAATACGAAATTTTTTTGTGAAAGAAAATTTCCTTCTTAGCTCTTACTCATTCAGCTAAACACATTTAGTTAATAATGTAGGGCAATTATTATTTTCTCCTTTTTTTTTTGAATAGAATTATTATTTTATCCTAGAAATTAACACAAGATAAAAACAAAAAAAGAACCTTAAAAATTGTCACATGAATTGAATTTAATTAATTACATGAAAAAAATTGAAACCATTTTAGAAAATAAACTCATGAAAATAAATTGTCAGTTTGAGAGAAAAGTGGGGTGGTATTATTTTTTATTCTAGTTTTCAATCTTTTCATATTTCTATTTAGTTTTATATTACAAAGTTGGGTTTTATCATAGACACTCACTTTGAGAACACATAATTTTTTTTTTTTTATTATTTTTTTTTTTTTTTTTTTTTTGTGTGTGTGTGTGTGTGAAATATATAAGTGGTAAGGACTTAGAATTTGAGAATGTATGGTTAATGAGTTTAGTTGAGATATATTGTAAAAAAAAATATGATTATGAAAAAAAGTTAAGAAGAAAAGGAGTGATAAGAAATAATAAATATATCATGATTATCAAAATTTATTAGGAATTTTTATTCTTGCCAACTCACTTTATAATTATTTAATTGGTAAAAAAAAAAAATCTCACTTTATAAATCCCTAAGCTTTAATTTACTTTATATTTAATTTAATTATTTGACCGGTGAATTATGATCTAACAAGTGTTTAAACTTTTGCTTGAAAATAAAAATAAAAATAAATGACACATCATATTAAATGGTCCCTAAACTTTGCTTAGTTGGTTTGGAAGTCTCTAAACTTTGCTGATTAAGCTTTTCCTCCACGAGAAATGGTGAGGCTTGGGTGATTGATTCTGTCTCAATTAAAAGTTTAAAATACAACAAATACCAAGTTTAGGGGCTGTATTTCACCTTAGCTCGCCTATTCCACGTGTCAATCCTTTCATACTGTTTCTAGATAATGCTATCAGCACCCAATTATAAAGTTCGAAACCATATCTTCATTTCTCAATTTTTTTTCTCTCTTAAAACCAAAAAAAATCATTTTTCCTCTTCAAATCCCTCCAAATGTCACCCTACAACAACAACAGCAACAACCCAATCCCAAAGAAACGACACCGTATCAACAGCTCCACCCGCCTCTCCTCCCTCTCCTCCGCCGCCGATTCCTCCGTTCAACTCCTCTCTTCGCCGATCTCCGGCGGCTTCAACGATGCTCCCACCGCCGACATCCTCCTTCGCCTCTTCCACGACTCCGATTCTCTCTCCTCCATTGCCGAAACCTCCGATCCTTCTTCCTCCGATGAACTCCAGGTTTACCTTCATTCTTCTGCACTTTGTAGGGCCAAGTATTTCTCCGCTTTGTTCTCTGATCGATGGAGCAAAAACGATGATGATCGGAAGAAATTGAATTATCAGAAGGTAAATCTAGCGGTTTCGCCGAAATCTGGCTCGATTAATTCTCATTTGGTTGTTCTAAGGTTACTATACAGTGAGGATTTGTCAAATGCTGTTAATTCTGCTGCTACGGCGATTTCGATTTTGCCTGTTGCGATGAAATTGTTGTTTGATGATTTGGTTAAGCAATGTGTTAGGTTTTTGGAAGCTGTTCCTTGGAGTGAGGAGGAAGAAGAGGAGATTTTGAATTTGGTTCCATTTTTGAGTGAGGAAGAATCGAAGGAGCTTTTAGCTAGGGTTTCGACATCGAAATCGGATTCATGTGAGCAAATGCTTGATAATTTGCTGGTTTCAGCGAAGCAGAATCATCCGAATTTGGCGCCGGTGAAGGCGTTTGTTGCGAGGTTGTTGAGGGAGTTTTCGTCGAGGGAGTCGGCGAGGAGAGCGCTGGAGAAGGCGTTTCTGATGAGTTTGAAGGTGGTGAAGGGATCATTGGAGGAGTATTCGAGTCCAGACTTTCGAGGGGATCATGCTGAGACTGAGGCTATTCAGAGGTTGAATTTGCATACTGCATTGACTAATGGGAAGCACTTGGTGTGGCTTGTGGAGAGGATGATCGAGCTTCGAGTTGCGGAGATGGCTGTCAAGGAGTGGAGTGAGCAGGATTCCTTTGCTGCTGATTTACAGAGGGCGTTTCGCGATGATGCTTGGAGGAATATCGTGCCTGGGCTTCCTACGGTTGTGTTGAAGTGTACGTCGAAGCTTGCCTGTGCTGTGGCTTCAGGGAACATTTTAGTTGCTCGGCAGGTATATACTCTTTTGGATTAAGGTTAATGTTTGATACAATGTTTGATTTTTCGAAGATTATTGCTATGCCTAGCTATCTAATATCTATGACAGACTTTCAGTAGATGATCATTCATTATCGAACTTGTGATGTGAAGATTAAGCACACGAACTTAGATGAATAGACCTTGTTTAACAATACTTGCTTTTCTGGACCCTGTATGTCGGATGCCTTTGGTAGTTGGATTGAGATGACATCGGTTCTAGCTTTTCTAGACCTTGTTTCTAATGCTTATGGTCATTTGTAAGTGATTTGGCCAATTCTAACTTTTTCAGACCATGTTTCTTAAGCTTATGGTCTTAGGTTTGTAATAATGTGATCGTTTCTAACTCTTCCCGACCTTTTTTACCTCATACTTTTGGTCGTTGATCAAGGTTGCAGTTAGTACGTATTGAGTTGGCCTAATCTAATGTCAATGCTAACTAGTCACTACTTTTGCTTCTATTCGCATTTATGTGATCAATACTGTAATTTGGAGATGAAAGTGCTTGAATTGAAGTTTTCCCAAGTTTAGTGATGCTTTTGGTTTTTGGAAGTCCAGAGTTTCCACATGCTGAGTTTGTTTGTATGGAGTGACTGATTTTTATTGCTTCATTGTGACTGAAGGTATGATTAACATCAATTATTTGTGTTTTTGAGTCCTAGACTAATCTTTATTGCCTTGGCTAGTGTGTGCTTTAGTTTGTTTTGAATAAATGGGGTATGAAGCTGAAACTGCTTTGTATATTTAAACCTTGGAAATAAGACTAGTCTGCTAGAGAGGGACATCAGAAGTTCTGATTTCTTTTGTTCGTGAGAAATTTTGATGGCAACTGGACAGGGTTTATGACAGTTTCTTGAAAATTTTGAGGTGAGAACGTTCAAAAGAGATTGCATGCTGATATACTTGTATGTGCTTATAGACTTGTTACATACTTACATGTGATGATCGGCTGGATAAAACATAGACTTGTGTGTGCTTTTAGATTTGTATGATTTCTGTTTTGCTGGTTATTTTTAGTATATCTGCTGCTCTTGTGTTGGATTGCACTTTTATGTACTCGTTGGCTCATTGCATCCCTTTTAGGGGGCGTTTGGTTCGCAAACTGATATGGGTTTGGAATCAGGAATGAAACCATAGTGGTATGGGTTTGGAACTTGATTCTTAATACCATATGTTTGGTATGCTTATGGAATGCAATATTTTTCTTTTATTTGATACCTAAAAGTATGGGAATGAGCCAAACCCACCTCCTCCCAAGGTTTCTAAACCCCATACCTTGGGGGTTTGAGGTATGGGTTTGAAACTCTTAAAATCATAAAACAAACATAAGGTATGGGTTTAAATCATTCTAAACCCATACCTTGTACCTTAATTATGTGAACCAAACGCCCCCTTAAAGATTATGGCTTTAATTTGTTAGCTTAATATCTCATTGATGTTTATATTGTATATCTTTTCTTGGCTATCTTTTTAGGTTAGAAAATTTGTTAGCTTAATATCTCATTGATGTTTATATTGTATATCTTTTCTTGGCTATCTTTTTAGGTTAGAATGAAATTCGTGAAAGATTGGCTTCCTGTGCTTATTATATGCAAAGACAATGCATCTCCTGTGCTTCCCAGCCACAAGCCAGTTCTTCACAGTTCTACTACATTATATTTAGAACTTGAAGAGATATTCTTGAAGATAATCTCCACATTGCCCATGGACGATGCACAAGAGCTACTGCAGCAATGTCTAAGTTTCTCAACCCGAGATTCAGAAGACTGTCCCCATTTAATTACAGCCTTCAATACCTGGTTTCGGTGTGCAACCCGACCATCTTTGTCAACAAGTTTCTCATAGAATGCTTTACTCATGCTTTTCTTTTGTCGTAATGCTCTGTGTGGACTGGACTGGCTAGGATTTCGTGTGTTGATAGTCCTGTATAGACTATAGATGTAATTAGAACTTTGTTAATGAGCTAGATTGTGGTTTGATGTATTGATTCCACTTATGTACATTTGTAAATTGGACATGGTTTTTAATGAGAAAACTTGTTACGTTTTCTAATTTTGGTCCTGCTGAATGGGTGCATTTCATTTTGAATGCTAAGACTTCAAATTATAGTACTGCACACCATTTTATGACCTAAGGTACTCATATGTTCTTCGGATTTTTTTCTTTTTGCCAATAATTTCGTTTAGGCCAGAAAACTATTCCCAGAGCCTATTATGTACATTCGGGTGTACTATATAACAAATTCTAAGTTATAAAATATTGTACTCGGATAAAACTTTCAACTCAATCTCAAGAATCAAATACCAATCATTAAACCATCTTATTTATCAGATAAGACTAGCTTTTTGATTAATTGCTAACCCAAAAAATTAGCATAAGTCAACATAGATTCATAAAGGTAAATTGGGTGTTAGGTGAACAGAATAAAATAAATTCAGATTGTCACATGTAAACAGCAGAATAAGTTGAATATTAATGAAAAATGAACTATCAAAATAAAAAATTAAATTGCTAACATCCAAAGCTCCTACATCACGCATGAAATTCGTCAATTGCTGAAGTTTAAAACAAGCATGCAGTTCATCTAGGAATCTATAACGAATAACATAATTTAAATTTTAATAAGGTATGGTCAAAGTGATACAAAGATATAGTTTCTTTTACTGAAAAAGAACATGTTTGGTGCTCAATAACTTTCTACAATTTTTTGTAACAAAGAAGTTATGAATTATAATTTCGAATTCTAAGTATATGGGTTTTATTTGGCTTTAAACCTAAGACAAATACATAGTTAGCCAACTTTAATTTTATTTAAAAGAATTAATCCCAATCTTTATCACTTTGACAAAAAGTAAAAATTGATGATGAGCTTTACTTCTATCAATTTAAGAAAAGTTATATTTTAATACACAAACTTGTAAAAAAAATTAGGTCAATATAGTTACCTTCTTCAAAGGAGTACAATTAGCGAAAGTAAGTATGTTTCCTCTATTTCAAAATGACTAGAAATTAATTACTCCAAAATTGTTCGTTGTATATTGATATTACTGTAAACCAGGTTTATACAACTTTGCTATTATTTTTTATTTTGATTTGTAGAAAAGAAGGGGGAGATACAAGGACTCGAGTACAAGACTAAAAGTAAAATTTGACAAGATAAGAAAGGGTTTTATCTCTTGTATTTAAGAAAAGCTAAACATTTTAATAAGCTATAAGGTAAAGATTGATATAGTACTAGATCACAAGACCACTACTGTAAAATCAAAAGTATCTCACATTCTTACGTCTATAGACTTACTTCGTATATACTTCCTTCATTCTAGTAATATTGCAACAACTGGACTTTAACACTATTTATCACGCTTGTTTGACCACATGTTATGATTTAGACATAAAGTAAAATATAGGGCCTGTTCACATTTACTGAACTGAGCTGAACTGAACTGAAATTAATATTTTATGAGCGAGGGAAATTAGGAGCTGAACTGAACTGAACTGAAATTAATATTTTATGAGAGAGGGAAATTAGGAGCTGAACTGAACTAATTGGAGCTGAATTGAACTGAACTGAACCGAACTAATTGGAGCTGAACTAAACCGAACTGAACTAAACTGAAATTAAGTAAATGTGAATAGGCCCATAGTCATATAAAGTATTGTTAGATCCATCTCATAAAATACCTTTCACAATATCAATTTTTTATAATTTTTACTCTTATATAATTATAGATATTTAACATATAAAATAAGCTTTTGGGTTTGTAATTTCATCCTTATTTCAATATTTATAAAACAGAGGAAGTACCAGAGCATCAGGTTGGAAATTTCTCCTTCATCCACATCATTTTCACCAAATGTTATTACTTTGGCATATATATGCTCTTACAAGACTCACCCCCTAATTATTAGACATTTAGCCAGCTTCTGAGCAAGGCCAAACGAAATGAAAAAGACTTGGCGAGGGTAGTACACTAGTACCCCAATGTTGCCATTTGCTAATGCTCTAAGAGGCTATAACAATTCAATTGAAATACGTAGTTTAAAAATTAAGACTTTAGGGTTCCATAAAATCGTTGTTAACATGTCAATAATTTATGCCACGTACAAAATTATATTTAAACTTGTTAAGAAATAGATTAAGAATGTGGGACATAGTTTAAGACTATAAAAAGTAAAGGCACAACCACATAATTAAGCTAGAGAAGTTGATAGCTCATACTAGTCAAGTATTCAATAAGTGCCATTTTACATGCCGTTAGAAAAATGCTCCTATTTACCCATGCCACGTGTAAAAAGACAAGATTAGCCATGATATACTCCCCTTTAATTGGACCACCATACACGTAAACCAAGGTCATTTTCGTCCTTTTATCCATTTGGACCTCCTTGGCTTCATTAGCCCTCAGCTGACTAAAACGGTCATGACTAATTAAAAAATTGGAAACTCTAGATTTATAACAACAATAATGTATTAGATGTTGATTGGTTTAGATCTCTTTTATTAATTGTTTATGCTTTGATCATACATTAAAAAAGAATACTTTTATTATAGGTAGTATGAAAAATAATAATACTCTTTTTATATGTATAACAGTTATATAAATAGATGCAAACATGACGAAATTTTATTTTAAATCACTAAGTTCTAATTTGTGTAAGTGGAAGATCTTTGCTTTCCCTATTTAATTGATTTAGCTTTGGATGTTTATTTACCTTCATTGATTGATCTGACCAATGTTTCTAAATTCAAATGTACTTTTAATTCATTTAGCTTTGGATGTTTGTTTACCTTCATTGATTGTTCCTCTTTTTCAACCCATGTTTCTAAATGCAAATGTACTTTGAATTGGATTTAGCCTTAAATTAATTAATAATTTACTCCGTTTTAGCCAAATCTAAATTTGATTACCCTACCTTGGTTTTCTCTCTTGATGTATGTTAACTGAAAATGGATGCAAAATTAATTTTTCCTTCTTCGAAAATATATTGTTGTTTGATAGGTTGAGAATGGCCTAGTAATCTTATAGTCACGAATTAAATAGTTGATATGTGATAATTTACAAAAAATACCAATCATGTAGTTTGATTAATAACCTTTGATCTATATTGTTTTATATTTTCATCTTCATTTGACGCACATGATATCCATAAACTTGTACATGTAGATGAGTTACATGTATGTCAACATCATAACTGGTAAGAACCATGTTTAAAAGGGAATAAACATTAAAAAAGCTCTATCCATAATGACTTGCGAGACATATCAATAGTAAAGTCTATTGATTATAACAAAGCCTAATTAATGAAAGCTAACGAACGTCCCGGGGGCGTTGGATAAACTAGCTAAAAATAGAAGGATTAAATTAAAAATTAACATTAATTACATTGATCGATGCATGATTTTATCATGCTGTCCCAAATTAATACCACTTTAGGTAATATTTGAAATTCTTATCCAACGCTCGAGGGCGTTCGTTACCAAAATCCTTAAAAAAATAATTAGGCAAACCACATAGCAATTATAGCAAAAATAATGTTATACACACAACTCAATATTCAAGAACAAAGTGAGTAAAAAAACAAGAACTTTCATTATTATATCCGTTGAAACCGCTCTCTCAGAGTCACACTCTCTCTGTCTCACTCACTCACTACTCCCTCTCATTCTCTCTCTCTGAGCTCAGCTCGCTCACTTGCTTTCTCAGAGAGATACCTTCCAAATGACTCCATCTTTCTCTCTCTTCTTCCAAATCATCTTCTGAATTTCCCCTGAATTTCCAATGGCAGAAGAATTTACCCTCTGAAAAAAAAACAGAATCCCCTGTTTTTATTTTTATTTTATCTTTTTCTTTCTCTAAAAGTTCCCCTGTTTTCAACTATGGCGACGGAAAACCCAGATAAAACCATGATTCAAACATTAACTACAACCTCAATTCTCGGCATAAAACTCTACATTTTGATTTTAATTTTTGTGGGTCTTTCGATTTTTTCTTGTTTTCTCATCTTCATCTGTTTAATCAGACGGAAAAACAAACTGGGTGGTCAAAATCGGGTATATTTGCGACAAAATTCGGGTATAATTCCGCTATTTTCGTCGGAAATTAAAGCAGTGAATGATGAAAATGGGGTTAAAAAGAAAATGGGGGAGATTTTAACGGGAGATAAAACAGAGGAAATTGGGATTTTGGTTGAAGGAGAGAAAAATAGAAGTAAATCGACGGAAAGTAGCGACGGAAGTTCTTCAAGTAAAGCGTCGGTGGTTTCATCGGATATTCCAAATATTGGGTGGGGCCGTTGGTATAGCTTGAGGGAGCTTGAGGTTGCGACACGTGGATTTTCCGATGAAAATATTATTGGTGAAGGTGGTTATGGTGTTGTTTATAAGGGTGTTCTTGAAGATGGGTCTATTGTTGCTGTCAAAAATCTTCTAAACAACAAGTATGTTTTTATTTTGCACATTTTTCTATGAATTTGGTCGTTTAAATCTTTGAATTTTTTTGGTAATTGTGTGAAATTTGATATGGCTATTTAGCTCTAAAATCGTGCATTGATAAGTGTAATTAATGGTTACTCTCGTATTTAAAGTACAGTATTAATTTTGTAACTTAATGGGGTATAAAATCAAGTATCGATCAGTGTTATTAATGTACGGAGTAATTAAAAACTTGGGTGCGATAATTTGTGATCAATTTCTTATGCATAACCCTTTAAGCTACCTCTAGTGTCTTTCTTTGATTGATTGGGGGTGAAATGTTTGGTTTAGAAAATGTGAAATCTTTTCTCTTGTTTTCCAATTGTAAGCTAAAATGTTTGATTTCAAAATTGGGTTGAAGTCTATTGGGAGGGATTACTGCTAATTTTGTCAAGTATTTCTGGAATTGTTTGTGCCACATTCATCAAACTTTTCTCATAATTCATGAATATATATTATGTTGAATTCAAGAATTTGTTTATATTAATGTTCATGGTAAAGTAAGCAAATTTTCACAATCTTTTAATGCTAAATAATCATCATGTTGTTGATTTTAATTTTAGTGGGTCTTTTATTTTATGCCTTAATATTGTGTGAAATATTAATAGATATTTACATGTTTGTGCTCAAAGTCATCATGTCGGTTTGAAGATTTTGATGGGGCACTCTTTAACTTTGCTTAGATCTAACGGTGCTACTTGCAATTCCATGTGTCAGTACTTGATAGCAATTTCTTTATATTTTTCATGAAAAAAAAAAATTAGAAAAGTAGTTTGAAAAAAATTAAATAATGTTTATCTAAATCTTTTTTTTGTTATTTTGTTCATCTTTGGACTTGAGAAAGTATAATGCTCAATGAAATCTTTACTCCCTTTTTGTCATCTTCATCATATGGTTTTTGGAGCTTTTGCTTTCTCTTCTTTTAATTTCTTTGTACTTTTTCTTTTAATTTGTTCTTACACATGTTGTTTCCTACTTTAATGGAACTCTTTACTTGACAAAGCTCTTTGCTTTTAAGATTTATAGAACATTTTTTTGGCGTAGTGAAGCTAAGCTTATAGGCCGAATAATTGGCTGAAAACTTTTAAACTAGTTTATGGCTTGTAAGAATTTTATTTGCATTGTGGTTTTTGGATCTCAGACTGTAAATGTGTAGTTACGGCCATGGAACTACTTTTACGGGCAATGTGGGTGTCTGGTCTATCGTGGTTATATATAATGAATTCATGATCACAATGTGGTGATGTGATTGAGATTAAGTACCCTAATCTGCTGTGAGATTATGCACAATATTGTGTGACTGACTCTAAAATTCAAATGGCTATGTTTTAATTTCAAAACATGGTTCTTGAAAATAAAATTTCAAATGCTGGAACTTTTCTTGCTTTAAATTAATGGTATTCAAAATTCAAAAAAAAATGGACCATTGAGGTGTTGCATTTATGACATGTTTCCTAGAGTAGTACAGTGTGCTCAAAGATGCCTAACTGAACACTGCATTTACTATTACTTGCCTTCTTTTGTGACTTCTTGTGACACTTTTAACCCGTGAAGAAACTAATCAGCAGTGACAGAAACGAAACAAACTACTCACTTATGAAGGATGACATAAATAATTGATCAAGTGACATTGAAATAATTCTGTTTTCCCTTTGATTGATCACTCAATGGACATAATCTGACCATAAACTAAACATTCTTGCTCCGTATTAATGTAAGATGTCGGCTTACCAATGCATAATAACTAATCAGTTTGCACCTCCTTAATTACGAGTATATGTGTGTGCATAATAAAAAAAACATTTGTATGAAAATGTAATTCTGATTATACTAAGTTTAAATGTAGGGGGCAAGCGGAAAAGGAGTTTAAGGTGGAAGTTGAAGCCATAGGAAAAGTAAGACACAAGAATCTAGTTGGTCTTGTTGGCTACTGTGCAGATGGAGCTCAAAGGTGTCCCTCTATTCTACCTGCCAATTCGACTTCACTTTCATCAGTCTGTTGTAAATGACTAATGTGTTGCTCGTACATATTCTTTGTTTGACAACTCAGGATTCTTGTGTACGAATATGTTGATAATGGCACTCTTGAACAATGGTTGCATGGAGATGTTGGGGATGTAAGCCCTTTGACCTGGGACTTCCGTATGAAGATTGCCATTGGAACTGCCAAAGGGTAAGATATTCATGTCCATATTGAACATTTCCCTTGTTCGATCAGCTTGTTAAGCCAATAACTCTACTGTGTGCTCAAATTCAATATCTGAATGTGTGAGCCTGGGACTAACTTGAGTTCCTTCCTCGATCTAGCTTTTTATGATGTCTGAAACAAGTTTCCATCGTTCCTTATAAATTATTTTTGGTTAATGATTAGATTTTCAAATATGCCACTACTTAGAATTAGCGATGAGGAGAAGATATATTTCATCCCCAACTTTCATTCTTTCATTAAGGACCTTTGTGTAGGAGCATGTCAACTTAGAAATAATGATTTATGAAAGATAAGAACAGAACGATTAATTGCAGGCAGTTAATTATAACATGATTGGCCGATTTTCATGACCGATCAATCTTGTATATGTAGCAGTTAATATGCTACAATACGGTGCCTATATCCCTTTTAGGTAATAACAAACTAAATAGTGGTAATGGACTAATGGGTGAGGCGGGGAAGGTCAGTGCTCTCCAGCTGATATTATGTTATGCATTTGTGCGATGAAGTAAGACTTGCATGCACAATAGAGCTATATATTTGAAGATTCATTTCATCATGTCATATAACTGATAAGGCAATGCTTGTTGGACTTTGGTGTGTAGTAGCTACAATTTTTCCTGTGATTACTTTCCTGTCCTTTGCTTCATCTTTTATCAGATTGTAACTCATCTCTTCCACAGGTTGGCTTATTTGCACGAGGGATTGGAACCAAAGGTTGTTCATCGTGATGTCAAGTCTAGTAACATCCTTCTTGACAAAAACTGGAATGCAAAAGTATCCGACTTTGGGCTAGCCAAGCTTTTGGGATCTGAAGCAAGCTATGTTACTACTAGAGTAATGGGAACATTTGGGTTCGTCCTCTCTCTAGCATTCGCTCACATGTAGTCTTGTAAACTGAACCAGACACTTTGGGATAGGAATGCTATTAATGTTTGATTCTAGATTTCTAATCCTAGGAATTGATTTTGCAGGTATGTCTCCCCAGAGTATGCTAGCACCGGTATGCTTAGTGAGTGGAGTGATGTATACAGTTTCGGTGTTCTGCTTATGGAATTGATCTCAGGAAGGTGCCCAGTCGATTATTCGAAACCCCCTGGAGAGGTTTGTTGACTTATTGTTTGCATAGTCTGTAAAGTGAAATCTTCATCTGCTCTTCTCTAACATTGCTTAAATATTCAGATGAACTTGGTTGATTGGTTCAAGGGAATGGTAGCAACTCGACGTGCAGAAGAAGTGGTGGATCCATTGATCACTGTTCAACCCTCTTCTAGGGCACTAAAGCGGGTTTTATTGATCTGCCTTCGGTGTATAGATCTGGATGCTAATAAACGGCCAAAGATGGGGCAGATCGTGCATATGCTCGAGGCAGATGAATTTCCCTTTCGTCCTGTAAGTCATATTCTATGTTCAAGTTTTCATATACTTACTGGTAGGGTATTCGTTTGTAAATATATTCTCGTCTATCCAGCAACCATTTTGCCTTGACAGCTCCGTTCTGCTAGTCCTATCAAAGCTATCAGCCCTTACGTGTAACCACCATTTTTTTGCCTTAATATCACAGATAATATCTATAAGAGTGAATGAGACTATAAAAGTAGGACTACTTTAATCAATTAAATATTTAGTCTGAAATAGTATTTAGCTAAAACACCCAAACTTATCCAGAAAATGAGAGAATCCCATATATGAAACAACCACCATGCTACATAAGCTACAATTATGCAGTGAATTAATTGAAAGTGTATAGTAGAATTGATGGATGCTCTGCCTCACACTGCCTACATTATTCTGATTGGATTATGCGGCTTTGCAGGATCATCGACCTACACGACAGGATGCTCCTCTGACTTCTGCTACCGAGAAACTTCAGTTATCCGATAAAGGGTTCTCTAGGTGAACATCCAAAGAGACTCTCGAGGAGTTCTATTAGGATCTATTTAGTGTCCATTACACAAGATTACAGGTGATGAGCCTTGGGTGGCATGTTTTGTTGGTTTATTCTTTTTTTCCACATTATCTTTATCTGGTTAGAAAGAACTGCAATTGAATGAGCCTTGTATGTACAGTATATACTTATATAGTAGTATTTATCGGCTTCTAGAAGTAAGAATTTTTCTTTGTTTTCTGTAAAATTTGGAGGCTCAAACATTGTTTATAAATTGGCTTTTGCACAGAGCACTTGTTTTTTCGAAATATTGTAACTGTTTCAATATTTTACAGGAAATTGATGCAAGTGTTTATGTCAAAATTCTGGTATTATTTGATCATCTTATAGGCTGCAGTAGCTTAGAAAATAAGTGTACAGCTGACCTCAAAGCTCCTAAGTCGATTAAAACGATTAGTAAGGACTTTAATGCTTACAAGGCTATGATTTATAGTTATCTTGCGACATCTCAACAAATTTGTTACTCCTTCTGTCGGAAATTAGTTTTAAGAACTTCGTATTACTTTGTCATTCACAATATATATGGAAGAACCCTACCTGAATCAGGAACAATTAATTCCCAATACCAACCCAACAAGTAGAGAACATTAACATAATTATCTGATGATTCGAGCTTTAAAGAAGTAGAGAACATTAACATACAAATCATCAATAAAAAAAACTCGAACAAATGAAACACATTAAGATAATCAATTTCTCAACAATTTGACAAAATTAAACAATTTAAGATCCAAAATAAAATTGAAATAACTATAATCCGTAGGTTTTGCTGTTCTTTACCATTAATGTATTCACAGCACATCAATTCTTGTTCCAATTCGCTGTATAAAACGTATGAAGAGGAGATCTTTATGTTGTATTTTTACCAAATCAGCCAACACGATAATGTTTTTCTTCATCATATTCTCTGTGTACAGTCTATGAGCTTCGAGTTGTTGAAGCCTCGATTTAACTTGTGTAATTTCTTTCTCTACCATGCCAATAGACTCCGTGTCTTCCTTAGCAAACCTTTCAATGTGCTTAGATACCTTATTGCGCGTCCCTTCTAGTTTATCTATAAGTTGCAACTTCCCAATAATATTTTTTACCTCCTCTTCGTCGTTAAACTTGTACACACACTTGGTAATTAGATCCTTAGATGCCTCACGAAGTTGGTCGTGTTGTTTGGTATACATTTCAAAGTTGTTAAGGTTGAACCTTAGCATTGTATCCATGTTACATTTTCGCGATTCAAGCTCTTCAAGTTCTTGATTTCATTCTCTATTTCATTTTGAAACATTATACACTCGTCTGTTTCTTCTATAAGGTTGTTGATTATACCGGTCACCACGTTAAACTTCTCCGCCCAATCCTCGAATTGATCATTGGTTTCGAAAGCTCGTCGAATCAAGAATTGGTTAGAATCGTCCTTACTACTATTCTCTTGGTAAAGCAATTTCTCAACAGTCTCAAGTAATCCCATTTGTATTGTGAATTTGTGATGTGATTTTGTTATGCCAAACAAACTTTTATAAAATCTTGGACTCAATTTAAGGGAGAGTCAAACGAAGCTATAAAAAATCTCTTGATGATCGGATCAAATATCCTTAAATCCTTAAACCTTATAAAAATGCAAAAGTTTTAACTGTAGCTTATGAATAGTACCCGCTGGTGCTATTACAGAGATGTCCTTGAATTCATTGAATTGCCGATTTTGCCCTTTATTGTTTTGTTTCTTTGGTGGCCTGGCTGTCGCCAGCTGTCTTCTCTCTCTTAACTCTTAAGGCTTCTTCCTTCTTCTCATCTCACTATCTTTCTCTCTTCTTCTCCTCTCGGCGTTCCCACTCTCTATCTCCTCCATTGGAGCAGTTTCTGAGGTACAAAACAAAAGAATTTATGATTTATTTTTTGTTTATTTCTTTTGTTCGTCTATTCGATTAGATTTTTCCTCTTATAAGAATGGAGGCGGCAACAGCAGCAGCGAAACCAATAATCAATGTCGCTGCCATTTGCGGCTCCTTTCCATACAACATAGACCTCCTCCGAGCAGGTACTTTCTCTCTCCCCTTCCTCCTCCACAATCAAATTTTAAGACCCAAACTTTGTTCAGAATCAATACAAACAATGGAAATCAATTACATGGGTATTTCGTCATCGCCGATAATTATGTTAGAATTCAAAGTATATAATTATAACAATTAATAGATTATCATATTAATGTTAAATTAAATGTTTAAAATTAGGAAGCATTTGTGATGAACCATATATCAATATATAGCTAGAACTGTCGATAATACCAGTAACAAATAATTTAACATACAATCCCAAGTATTGTGTGTATAAAATTAAACAACCTTTAATTTTTATTTTAATTGTTTTGGTATGAAAAACTTTAATTCAGGTTTGGGACCCTCATTCCAAAACTCTTATTACCAAACTGCAGATTAATATGTTCCTGTTGTTTTCGAATGTTTTTGGTTGAATCTTTGTGGGTGTATTTGTGCGAAATCGTTTCGTTTTTAATAGGAGTTTATTTGATCGATTTGTTTTCGATTTTTTGGGTTTATTTATTCTATTGTTTTTCGATATTTTAAGGGTTTATTTGTTCTATTTATTTTCATTTTTTGGGTTGAATTTTAGTGCTTCTTCGATTGTGTGGTGGTTTTTTTTTGGGTTGGATTTGATTGATTTATGTTTTTTGGGTTGATTTTTTATATTGTTAGTAGCATTATTGTCTGATTTGTAACAGAATTGTTGATCTCCAGGTACAATTCTATCTCTCCTTTCTCTTTCTTGTTCAAATTGGTTCAATTTTCATCTAACCTTTAATATGAATGTCTTTTTTTTTTTTTTTTTTTTTTTTTTTTTTTTTTTTTTTTTTTTTTTCTCATCCTCCAGTTTCTCTGTTTTTTTTTTTTTTTTCTAAAATAGGCGGAAGGAGTAAGACGGAGCAAGGTTTGGTGGATTCGAGTTTGAGGTGAAGAAACTCAGACATTATTGCATGGTCGATTTGTTTTTAATTTCTAGAATGTAATGATTTATTTATGATCTGTGCTGTGATTTGTGTGTTATTGTTGATGTTTGTTTGTGTTTTGTGGAATTGATGGAATTTTAATTTGATTGATTGAGAAACAAGCTCAGTTGATGTTAGGCTACTTTCTTTTTGTCAAATATGAAGTGGTACATTTAAACGATTGTACCATTATTGTTAAATTCGGTTTGAAATTTATTTATTTTGTGTTCTTTTGTATGAGTGATGTATGAGTAATTGTTTGATGAAGATTGGGTGGGCTTCATTGTTTCTTCCTTTAAGGTTGTGTTCATTTCCCTTTTTTTCGTTGTATTTCTTGTACCTTGATTATGAGCGGTGCTTTAATTTCTATATATGCAGAAATGGAGGGTGAAAAATTATTTCAGAATTATGGGGTGGTTTTGATTCAATCTATAACCCTTATAAAAATGCAAGACGAAACTAATGTAGTTTATGTGGTGGTTCATTTGTAGGCTTTACTGCAGTTTTCGATTGAATTTGATATCAAATGGCTCTTACATAGCAACTTGCTACTAAGGTATCTCTTCATTGTTCATTCTCATGGTTTCCTCTATTTAGTTTGTCTGTACATTGGGAACTTTTCAATTCAATCTGATGAAATTTCAGGCTTTTCCATATTTTAGTTCCGTTCATAAATTTAGGGGTTTTCTCGATTCAATTATGGTCATTTTAAAATTGGAGCTTTTCCGAATTAATTTAATTAGTTCAAATATTTGGGGTGGTTTAAGCATTCTAAAGCTATTTCTTATGTTAGGATATCTGTAATGATTTTCTTATCTGTGTTGTGATTTGTGTGTTGTTGTTGATGTTTGTTTTTGTTTTGTGGAATTGATGGAATTTTAATTTGATTGATTGAGATCTGGAATGGTTCTACTAAAGGGCTACTTTTCAACCTCCGAACAGGTGCCACTATTTTTTTAGCTTCCTTTGTTTTTGTTGTCACATTAGATGAGATGAAACACTCCATATTTTGAAATTTGGAAATTCTGTTTTTCATTGGAAGGTAAATATATCATGCCACCTAATGCTGCTAACCTGATCATTTATAAGAATGTAAAATCATGTTTATGTGACAAGCCTAATGGTGGCCAATAAGATCAGAACCGTTTAAATGATCGGTAGAGTAGTATTGTACCATTGGCTTTAATAAAATCGTCACTATTCCTCAGGTTAAAATTTTACTCTTCCTTGTCATCAAAAAATAATAAATTGTTACTCTTCTAATTTAAAATTAGGTCAATTTACTTCTTTTTGTTGTGTTACAAACACACTACTTAATATTCCTTTCTTATGGAGGAGGAGAGGAACTTCTGATGCAGAATTTGCTCCGCATCATTTTTAAACTTTAACTTAATACAAGGAATTAAATATATTAACATGGGTAAATCCTGTATCGTGTAGGCAAACATTTTAAAGAAATGTCGTGACCATGGAATGGGCCCTGTAGGTTTCTATGAGCCTTGTTTTCGTGAGGGAGGGAAGTTGCATTTGAGCATGATGTGTTTTGGTCAGTTTTGGGATCCTGATGCCAGCAAATATGTAAAAAATCATCGGCCAATTGATCAAGCAAAACCACCGTCACTTCCACATGAATTTCTAATGTTAGTTGAAAGAGCCATCAATGACTCTCACTCTCGGTTGTAAGAGCCATCAAAGAGCTAAACAGTCTGAGGCAAATAATGTAGAAGATATTCTTCTCCCAGTTGTAAATTATTATACACAAACTGGACAGCTCGGTTTACATCAGGCTCGTAATTCGAAAGTTTTATCTGATTTTTCTTGTATTGAAATTACATGGCTTAGCTTTCAGTGTGACAACTAACACTTTCATGTTGAAGAAACATCTGGACAACTCTTCTATAATACCTATTAGAAATTGTCTTACTGTTGTTATGACCTTTTTTGTTTGCTTGCTTGTTCGTTTGCTGTCAAATGGGATCTTGTTAATTCTTAGAAACAAGTAAATGATCTCCAAAATTGAAGTTAATGGGCATTGTATCACACAATAAAGAACATCTTTTGAAGTTTGGTAAAAAAAAAAACTCCAGCTTCTTTACTCATAGTCTCTAATAAGTAATGACCATCTAATCTCCCAAAATGTAGAATAAAATTAGAAAACTGGTGTTTGCTGACTTGCTTTATGCTCTATAGCCTCTATACTACAGGGCCAAAGTGTCTGCCAGCTTAGTAAGTTAAGGAACTAACACCTTAATAGGTTAAGAGTAAGTTGCCTATCTGGAAATTAACTTGGCTTTTTTGTTCTACAATTATACGATTCTATAGTCTATAATGTCAAGCAAAGTGAAGCTCTAGGACCTCATTGCCTTGATTGATACATTCATCTGCTTGTTTCAGGACAAGGATTAGATGATGTGTATTTTGACGGTTTATATTTGATGGAAGGATTTGAGTGATTTTAAGGGTGGAAATTTGAAAGATAGTCTTAGAAGGCAACGACTTCTAAGTTTGATTTTAGGAGTAACGATCCCAAAACCCTAGTTAACAACTAGTTTGAACCTTAACAAAGTTCTCTTCAAGCAAAAGCTCAATAATCTCAAATTATAATTCATAAAACATCTTGTTAAAATAATTGACATACAACTAGTATATATAGGAAAAATAAATCTATCCTACTTGCCCTGCAAGCAAACTAAATAAAAAGCCCTAATAATTAATTAATGAACCAAGAGAGCCCACTAATTAATTAACACAACTTTGGAAGCCCAAGGCCCCATAACTACTACTAAGAAAATAATAAAAACATTATTAAAAACTCACTTGTAAAACCCCTACTTTAAGAGTAAGGCAAAACCAAGAGAGTACCTAAATAAAGCAATAAAAATAGTTATAAGGAAGGGGACTCGATTCACATCATTCCCTCCCTCTTAAAAAAAAACTTGCCCTCAAGTTTCGTTCGGAAGACAAGGTACCAAGTCACTAGCCCTCATAGTAGCGCAAATTCCCGCTCCAAGAAGTACTTGAAAAGTATCATAATTCTCCCTATGCACAATCTTGAAAGGTCCTTCCTCTAATGGTTCATTCTTACCTCTAGAATTATTAAAGATTTTTTGAGCATTTAAAGATAAGAAAACATACTCACCAATCTCAAAAGGGTGTTGGTTTCTCAATGACAACATATTAGCCCTTCTTTCCTTTTTGTTAAGTTTAGGCATAATCAACAACTCTCTAGCAGGAGCTTGAATAGGTGGCGCCTTAGGGGGTAAAGGATGTAATTGGACTCTCTTATCCCCAACCTTCACTGAATAAACATTTGTAACACCATTAAATAACACCCCTCGATCATATTGCCAAGGACGACCCAAGAGTATAGAACAAGCAGTCATAGGTAAAATATCACACCATACACTATCAGAATATGAACCCATGGAAAAGTTCACCAAAGCTTGCCTTTTAACCTGTAGTCCATCTCCATCATGTAACCAATTAAGCTTGTAAGGAGTAGGATGGTCCCTAGTAGAAAGATTCATAGTGTCAACCAACTTAGTAGATGCAACATTGGTGCACGATCCCGTATCTATAATCAACGAGCAACTCCTATCACCCACTTTGCATATAGTATGGAACAAATTTTCCCTTTGCTCATGTGTAGTAGGAGGAACAAAATTAGCATGCAAAACTCTCCTTAAGATACCGATATGGTGATGTTCAGGTTCAGGAGTAATCTTTTCTTGACCCTCAAACTCTTCAAAATCAAACTCTTCCTCTGTATTGAGCAAACATGTACTCTCCTTCTCTTTCTCTTCTTGGTCAAGATAAGCCAACAACATTCTATGTTCCTTCTTGGATACCGTCACTTTGTTACCACAATCTCTAGCAATGTGTCCCATGCCTTGACACTTGAAACAAACTTTTTTCGCCAATGCAGCTTGTTCGGGAGTAACAACAATCATCTTCCCTTCATTGTTTGAATTGTTAGAGTTGATATTCGAACCCTCACCATTAAAGAATGACTTCCTCTCCTTGAAATAAGAAATTTTCTTTTCTTTCTCCTGTTTCTCAAATCTCTCTGCCAACCTTAAGACATCATCAAAGAACACATAATTTGATGTTTCCACCTTGTGAGAAATCGAAGGTGTTAACCCTTTTATGTATCGTCCAATCTTCATCTCCTCTTTTTCCTGCAAATCACAAAGCATGCACAATTTCTCAAACTCTTTAGTGTATTCAGCGACACTAAGATTCTTTTGTTCAAGATGATTCAACTTCAAGAATTGATCTTGGATAAATTCCCGTGGTAGGAACCGTTTCCTTAATTGTCTCTTCAACTCGTTCCAAGTATTAATTCGTGGCTCATCTTCTCTCAATCTCTTGGCACGTAAATTCTCAAACCATAGAGAAGCATATCTCGTCAGTTTTAGGTTTGCAACCTTGTAGGCTTTTTGCTCATCAAAACCTTTATAATCAAAGACCTTTTCCATCTGACGAACCCAATCTAAAAAGTCTTCGGCATCCCCATCACCTGTAAATTCCGGAAGTTCCAACAACTTCAAATCTCGATCATTGTCAATTGGAAAATTTCTCATGATTCCCCTAGGTTGTTCGTTGTTGATTATTCTTCCTTCCCCAATCACTTGAGTAGACAAAGTTTCAACCCTTTGATTGGTTTGAGCAATTTCTTGTGTACTCTTCTCAATTTTCTCATTCATTCGTTCAAGACTCGCATTAAAATTTCTCATCATATCAACAAGCATAGTATCCAGATCTTCCTTTGTTAAAGTACTCATGATGTCAAAATAATCACAGTCCTATTCGTGGCCAATTATCTCCAAAAATAATAATCTTGCAGCAAGTCGTACTAAAGGCAATAAAAATATTTTGATAAAGCAAACAAAGCAACTAATTACCAAAATACAATCACCTTAAATTAGTATGCTTTAAAATTCAATTAATACCACCGACTACGATAACTGCAACACAACAATAATGACGGCACAACTTATTCTTCTAACTAAACCAATACTTTGTAATTTGGCAGCAATTCCACTAACTCACCAAGCAAATTAAGAGCACATACCAACAAGTAAACTACTATGTAGAAGTTACGAGTACCTTTTGCACAGATACCAACGAATTCTGCAATTCATCCGCTTGAGTACGAATAAGGATTTTTTTTTTCTTCTTATCAATCGTGTAAGTCGGGAGAACTTACAAAACCTGGCTCTTGATACCAATTTGATGTGTATTTTGACGGTTTATATTTGATGGAAGGATTTGAGTGATTTTAAGGGTGGAAATTTGAAAGATAGTCTTAGAAGGCAACGACTTCTAAGTTTGATTTTAGGAGTAACGATCCCAAAACCCTAGTTAACAACTAGTTTGAACCTTAACAAAGTTCTCTTCAAGCAAAAGCTCAATAATCTCAAATTATAATTCATAAAACATCTTGTTAAAATAATTGACATACAACTAGTATATATAGGAAAAATAAATCTATCCTACTTGCCCTGCAAGCAAACTAAATAAAAAGCCCTAATAATTAATTAATGAACCAAGAGAGCCCACTAATTAATTAACACAACTTTGGAAGCCCAAGGCCCCATAACTACTACTAAGAAAATAATAAAAACATTATTAAAAACTCACTTGTAAAACCCCTACTTTAAGAGTAAGGCAAAACCAAGAGAGTACCTAAATAAAGCAATAAAAATAGTTATAAGGAAGGGGACTCGATTCACATCATTAGAGTCGGGAGAGTCTTGGGAAAGGAATACCTATTGTGTCTTTCTCCATTGGTGACTCTGCAGAATTTTTATATGGTGATCAGGCAGATGCTGAAAAGGCTGATAAGATTAAATTAGAATCTGGAGATGTTCTAATATTCGGAGGTAAATCAAGACGTATTTTTCATGGTGTCTCTGCAATTTTTTTGTGAAGTTGAAGTGTTTTTAGTGGATTGGTAAGTGAATTAGTGAGAGTTTTGAGTGGTTATTTACATATGGATGGAGAAGTCAATAATTTTTGGTAATGCTTAAGTTAGGGTTTATTTTGCACTGTTGTTGTTATATTCGGTTTCAAATTTTCTTAATGTTGTGTTCTTATGTTGAATCTACTTGTAAAAATGGCCAGGGAAGTTTATATTTGGTTTTTTCTTTTTTTTTTTTTATATATACTTCAGAGCTTTCTCTAACCCCCCACTAAAGCAAAATAACTTTCCTCTCCATTGAAGTAACTTGAAAGGTAATTTGTTGATTTCCCGATCCGACGTCCAAGTATAGTTCTTTTTGCTTTCTCTCTCTTGTTCTAATTGGTTCAATGTTCATCTCTTTGTTTAGATTTTTCCTTTTATTTGAATGTTAGACTGATTTAATGTTTGTTCATTTCTGGGTTTTTATGCAGTTGGATTTTCTGGGTTTTTATTTATTTATTTAATATTGATTCTGAATTTAATTCAGCTTTACTAGGTGTTTTTGTGTTTAAAGCTTGATGCTAATATCATTGGAGGAACTTAGTTATAGAAAGGCATGCCTTTTTATTGACAGAAGTGAATAAGTTAGTTTTTTGTAATTAGTTTGATAGAAGTAGAATATCATATTGCTAAAAGTTTTCTATTTGATTTGGTATAGGATCTTCACTAATTAAAAGGAGATTATGCCAGTTTTCCAGTCAATGTGATCTTCATGGATTAAAATTGACATACCAATGAAACTCAACATTCTATATTTTTTCACACAATTAACATGGTTGGCTGACTTGGGAGGTTTAAAAAATATCTCTAATTAATGGATTATGTTTAGTATCTGCCTGAGATTGGTGTGCTATTATTATTGTATGGACGAGGTCGTGGTGAAAGTAAGATAAAGCTCTAAAACGTTCAATGTGATGGCAAAACCATTTGCTTGTATCTTATACTCGATGTAGTATAGTTGTATATAGCCTATATTATTTGCTTGAATCTTATACTCAATGTACACTAGTAGAATAAAGCAATTGGCCACCGGTTCAAAACCCCCCTATGCCACCGGTTTTGAACCGGTGGGCATTTGGGGGGTGGCAATAGTCTAATGCAAAGCCACCGGTTCAAAACCGGTGGCAAAAACAAGTATTGCCACCGGTTAACCGGTGGCAATTATGCTTCCCGCTTTTTTTTTTTTTTTTTTTTATGATATTACATATAAATGCCACCGGTTAACTGGTGGCAATAACATACTTTTTTTTTTTTTTTGTTTTTGTTTTTTCTGCTATTTGCTACAATAATAATAATAATTAAAAAAAACTCTGTAAAATATAAGGCAAATAACATCACAATCAATATAAGAGCGCAATGAAATATACTCACATTTATATTCAAATAATAGATTGTTATTGTACAATAAAAAAAAATTACAATGAAGTATTAAGTAAAAAAAATTACAATGAATTATACAGTACAAAAAAAAAATTAAAACATTAAAAAATAACAATATTCCAAAATGAAAGTCTTGAATCCAGCATCAATTAACACCTGCATCAATTAAAACTCAGAAATTAATAAAACTCAAAAAAAAAAATGTGAAAAAAACCCAGAAACTCATGCATGTATACGGTCACCCGCAAAGGATGAAACAGAAAGAGAAAAGGCTTAAAAAAACAGAAAGAGAAAAGATGAAAACCCAAAATTTTCGCCCAGTGAAACCCAGTAAATTCGAAAATCAAATAACCCAAAAATTTCGAAAATTAAATAAACCCAATAATTTCGATTATCAATTAAAAACAGAAAATTTTCGAAATAAAAAACCCAAAATTAAAACAGAAAAATTTTGAAATCAAAAACCCAAAACCCAAAAAACAGAAAAATCAATTTCGAATTCCACCAAAAATAATAAAAACCCACCCACCATAACCACAACCCCCACCAAAAACCACCACAACCCATGAACTCCACCAAAAATAACAAAAAACAAAATAAAAGTAAGAAAAAAGAGAAATTACTTGAATTTCAGCAAAACCCCCCGAAATTATCTTGAATTTGTGTTATAAAGGTCTAATTCGACCATGAAAACTCTAGATCTAGAGTTTTCATGGTCGAATTAGACCAGAAAACCCATATTTTCATCACGAGGAGAGAGTAAGTGCGACAATAAGCTTGATGGTTAATGGCGGTGGTTGTTGATGTGGCGGTGGTTGTTGTTGCGGCGGTGGACGAGCCGAACGAAGGAGAGAGGAAGATACCGCGAGAGAGGGAGAAGATTAGGGTTAAGGAGAGATAAAGAGAAGAGAGATCAGGAGAGAGGAGGAGGTTGACGAGAGAGATTCAGGGTAGAGAGAGAGAGAACAGAGAGGGGGAGTAAGAACGAAGGAGATAGAGAGAAGGAGGAGAGCAGGGGGAGAGGTGATAGAGGAGAGAGAAGATTAGGGTTAGGTATATAAAGGAAGGGGAAAAAGAATGGTGGGATTTTTTTTTTATTATTTGATTATTGCCACCGGTTCAAAACCGGTGGCCTTTATCATTTATGCCACCGGTTCGGTTTGAACCGGTGGCAGTGTACATATGCCTAATCCCGCCCATTTTTTAAGCCACCGGTTTTCAAAAACCGGTGGCCATTGAGCGGTGCCTTTTTCAATTTTTCTACTAGTGGTAGTATAGTTGTATATAGCCTAAAATGTTCAATGTAATGTCAGACTTTATGAACTATTCAGAACTCCAAGTCCTAAGCTTAATTAAACCCTTTAGTTGTGTATTGTTTCTTATTTGGGTGGTGGATTGTCCGTTTGTTATTGAACAAGAAGTTTGTTATTGCCTGATTGACCAGATAAGTTTTGAGATGCTACCTACATTACAACCTTGGAGTTGATATTGATGATACAGTGTAGTTATATCATCACCCCTTCTCTATGGATAGCCAAAAGGCGAGGCTTGCACTTGAAGAGAATCAAATTGATTATACATTTATTACATGGATGCATCATTCTTCATTATGTCATGCTGTCATGTTTAAATACAAGGTAGGAAAGTATTTTTGGATATATTTAGTTAATCAGAAGTATATATTCATAGCTTCAAAGATATGAAAAGAGGAACATGGTTAAGTAGAATGTCTTCATGGCATTGAGAGTCGCATGAAACCTATTCTTGGTTGAGTTAATGCATGCATCACCAAGTTAAGTGGGCTTGCAAAATTAAAGATGCTATTACCGTTTACATGCGAGCCTAATTTCGATTGGTAATACGATATATAACACTAAGATGCTATTACCGTTTACATGCGAGCCTAAGAACACTAAGATGCTATTACCGTTTACATGCGAGCCTAAGAACTACAATCGCTGAAATCGTACATAAAATGATTTATAGATAAATAACCAATAAATAAAATTTAATATATAAACATATGATATTTCTCATTCATTTTATACATTCCATATCGATTACAAACTCTAATTACTAAAATTTTCAATAGAAGAACCACTCGAAAATTTTCTACTTTAAATAGTCTAACAAACAAATATACAATACTTTTGTATATTTTACATTTAATCCATTTTACATAACTTTATCCCTTAGTGGTGCATTCCCTTATAACTAATCCTTATTATCACAATCAATCTAAGACGAAGCTATTCGAAAAATATTTAGGTACTCCTCAATAGGAAACTATTTTGCGTTCTACAATAATGTCTAAAACAATAGTATATTTTTTTTTAAGAATCTTTAAATTATCAAATTCTAGATAACTTCACTTATAACAATTGTTTTTCCATAGATATTTCCCCATAGAAACTTTATCACTACTCCTTCTCAGTACTTATAAATTCATGCATCCTTGCTATTACAAAACCCGAACACAACCACGAATATCACAACAACCGAACACATCCACGAATTTTGCTTATCTTGCCGGTTGCGCGTGCTCCAACGACTAGTTAACCAAAATAATAGGACGACCCTAACAAGAATAAAATTATATTTTTTATGAAAAGATAGATTCAAATAAAATTATTTTTTCGAAAAAAAAAGAGTATCATATACGCAGTATTTTTTTGTTTGTTTGTTTTTTTTTTTTTTTCCAATTCTTTTATGATTTTTTTTCTAAATGAAACTAAAACCTCCTTGAGTGGACGGATTTAATTTATAATTTCATTAGAAATCATGAAAAAAGAAAAGATAAATTCTATTTCCTAAAAAAAAAAAAAAAAAACAAAACAAAACGTAGTAAAAAAAATTCCTTTTAAAAAATTCCGTTGCCGGGACTTGAACCCGGGTCTCTCGGGTGAGAGCCGAGTATCCTGACCAACTAGACTACAACGGAGTCGCTTGTTAACATTTCTTCACAAATTATAATAAATAAAAATAAAATCATAAATCCTCATTGAATGACACGTGTCCGTAAAATTCTCCAATTTCCCCTAATCCAAACATACCCCGCCCAAAAATCAACCTGAACACATACATTCCTTTCTCTTCCCTTTCATTTCTCTTCATTTTCTCTATCCTCCACTTTTTCTTCAACAATGTCTTCCATATAAATACCAAATCCTTCAATTTTCATCCTTCAGATCTACAAATTCATACATTTCATCTGATAATCAACAATTTTAGAGAGAGAAATCAATGGAGGCGCAACTTGTTGAGAGGTTGGAGAAGGCAGTTGCTCGATTGGAGGCGATTTCTTCATCTTCATCTTCTTCTAGAAGCGTCGATTTTTCCGGCGAAGATGCGGTGGTGGATCCTTCGATCGTCGCTTTGGATGATCTGATCGCCAATTATGTTGGTAGGGTTTACGACGCTGCTCAGAAGATCGGCGGTAAAGTGTTGGAATCTACGGAGATTCTTCGTGATGCGTTTTCTGCTTTGCGTGAGCTTCTTGTTAAAGTTAAGCAGACTCAGGTAATTGTATTTCTGATTTTTGATGTTTGATTTTAAAATTTTGTTGATTTTATTTTTGGATTGAATTGTGGAGTTTGATTTGATTTTGATTGAGTGATTTTATGTGAATTTTGTGCATTGTGGAAAATTGTTTGACGATGATAACTGTCTGATTTAAGGAATTCACATTTCAATTTTATAGATTTAGATTGAGCGTATTTTTGTTGATTTTGATTGGAAATTGTTGTGTAATGTGGATGTCGGATAATGATGATGAGGAGGATAGTTCAAATTTTGGAATTCAAAATTTTAGATTTATAGAAGCTTGATTTGATTTGAATTGATTTTTTTTTGTTTGTTTTAATTTAAATTGGAATAGTGCATATTTTGGACGAGCAATGTGTTGAATGTAAGATAAAGAATTTCTTGAATAACTCGGTGAAGAATCATTGAAGCTGAGAGATTTTTTCGAAGTTCTTGATTTCTACAGAATTGATCTTGTTTTTTGTATTGAGTAATGAATATCTGAAATTAGTATTTTAAGAACCTTACTTGTGTTGTATGCTCGCTTTATATTCTTCACTAAGCTTGCAATTTGGACTGATCAACAATTTTTATAGGCAAATACATTACAATATATTTTTTGAATGCTATCCAATATGAGGGAAATTGGATTGTCATCATGAAATTTTTATGCATGTTAGATTGTTTAGGAGAAATGTTAACAATCAACGGGATTAGGAATGGAAGGATTTGACATTTTGACCAGTAATATGATGGGGTAGTGGTAGGATAGAGATTTAATTTGCTATCGTAGCATCTATGTAAGGGCCCCTTACGGTTTGAGTGCACTATGTCTTGTTTGTGTAAAAATACTCGCAACATATTCTTCTTTTTCTTTCTTTTTTTTTTTTTTTTCCTTTATTTTTTTTGGGGTTAAGTTCCAATCTAGTGTGACTAACAGCTCCTTTTATATGTATGCGTAACCTTAAAAGACACAAATATTGGAAGGAAGTGCTATGTTACAAACTTTGCTTCCCTTGGTTTATTTATATTTGAGGTTTTTTAATCTCAATTAGTTGATATTTTACATTCCATCCTAATTATTCAAATTGGCAACTTTCGCTTTTTAGAGTTATGAGGTTCTCCTTTTGTGTGTTTAGAGCTAAAACATATTATCTCCATTTATTATTTGAATATGACTTGCTAGCCTAAAATATCACTTATATTGAAATAGAGGGAATTACGGTTAATAGATAATGGGCATGGCTGGATATCTTTGCCGAGACTGGTCTTGTTTGAGTTTGAGATGTCCAAGTTTCATATTCTTTCCAGTTACGTGGCTGAAACTAGTACTAGGTACTGTGGTGAAGGTTTTGACTGGGGTGCCAAAGTGCCAAACTACTTGTGCACTGTGCTAAGATTTGTTTTTTAGTGAATGCACTTTTTTTTTCCTGCAGAAACCTGACATGGCCGGGTTGGGTGAAATTCTAAAACCACTGAATGAAGTGATTATGAAAGCTAATGCCTTGACTGAGGGGAGGCGGTCTGATTTCTTTAACCATCTGAAATCTATTTCCGACAGCCTTGCAGCTTTGGCATGGGTTGCATATACTGGCAAAGACTGTGGTTAGTAATTAATACTCTCTAACCTTCAAATGCTGATTCATTTCTTTATCCCCTCCATCTTTTCCTGGTCTCCTAAATCATATCTTCTTGGTAGGTATGAGTATGCCTATTGCACATGTGGAAGAAAGTTGGCAAATGGCTGAATTTTATAGCAACAAGGTATTACTTGACTTTTTTGGGCTTATGAATATAGATTATTTTGCAAGTATCTCAATATTGTAATTACAAACAACAAATTAATTGAGCATCTTTGGCTGAGTTTGAGTAATGAATTTTAATTCCAGTTTTTTTTGGTCTTATCTGCTTCAAGGGGATATATTTTCATTGTGCACACTGATCTGATTCAAACTGTTTGAGGCCTTTGAGCTTTACGGAAGTACTATCACTAGTTCACTACTTTGTATGCATTTTCTGATTTTACAGATTCCTTTACTGTTTCTTTAATGTTCAGGTTCTGATTGAGTACAAAAATAAGGATCCTAATCATGTGGAATGGGCCAAGGCTTTGAAGGAGCTCTATTTACCAGGTTTGAGGGATTATGTTAAGAGTTTCTATCCACTGGGACCAGTTTGGAGTACCTCTAGCAAAGCTACTGTTGCTGCTGCACCTAAAGCCTCAGGACCAGCTGCTCCTGCACCACCACCTCCACCTCCTGCTTCACTCTTCTCTGCTGATTCTGCTAAACCTTCTTCATCACAACCAAAGGTAGGGATGTCTGCTGTTTTTCAAGAAATCAGTTCTGGTGGAGCTGTTACATCAGGTATCTACATTACTACATGTTCCTTTTCCCCTTTTCCTTTTTTTTGGTTAATTTTTGGTGACCAATCTCTTTCAATTCCAGGCCTGCGAAAGGTTACAGATGATATGAAGGCAAAGAACAGGGCTGACCGTAGTGGTGTTGTGCCTGTTGTGGATAAGGAACCACGTGCTAAATCTTCTGCATTTTCCAAAACAGGGCCTCCAAAGCTGGAGCTTCAGATGGGTCGTAAGTGAGTGTCTTCCTATCTTTGATACATGTGCTGTCCCTTTTGC